TAGCAAAAAAGACTGCGGAGAAGTAGCTGGATCGCCATCAATATTACATGGATGACGAAAAGAACACCTCTCATAATGTGTCCTTTCAATGTCTGCATCACAGCGAATATGATATGATCGCACAGCGTGTTTAGTGGACCGTTTGTTTAATTGCTAACTGACGCAAGATCATGGCTTCGGGCTTTTGATCTTCTGGCCCCGATTTGTGATAAAGCGGATTGATAAGGACACATAAGCCAGGTCCTGCCAAAGAACCCTTATGTATGGATTGGTTTGCAGTTGCTTGTATGGGACTTTATTCACAATTCTATGAAATTCACCTGGAGTAAGGCTGCAATGGCTCCTTCTTAATGTGGTCTTAATCGCACTCTGCCGTAGCGCGCATTGGTGGGCGGCCAATCTCGCGCGTGTCCATTTGTGGGTGTTTGCTGCTCACACAGTCCTGGAAGGATGCAAAGCGGTAAACTAGCGGCGGCAGCCCTTTGTGTGTGCGTGTGTGTGTTAAAAAAAGGAAAGCAACCTGGAAGCGGCAGAAAACAATCCGGCCTGTTTCCCTTATTAGCACTGCGCCCATCCCACATCAGACGACCGATCAGCTAGGCGGTGGCCTGTTGTTGGCGGGGGGGGAGAGAATGAGGTCGGCCCTCAGCGCATTTTGTTTCCTCCCTAAAAAATAATCTGATATGCTTGAAGCTCCCACAGTGCCCTAGAACCCTGGCTGACTGACGGGATAACTCGGTCCGCGCAGTCAGTTTAGTGTGTCTTTTTATGTTGAGAGGCTAACTGCGGGCTGAGATTCAGGCTGCAATGGCTCCTTCTTAATGTGGCCTTTACGACGCTCCCGGGCGTAAGCTTACCTAGCAAGGCAGTGTTGTTGTGGCGTGTGTTTGAGTGTGTTTCGGGCACACCGCCTGTGCCCTCCCCCATCTCCCGTCTCCTCGAATTTTGTCTTGACCTCAGGTCCAGGTCTGGGAGTGGACAGAGTGTGGGGTGGATCCGGCGAGTCTACCTTCACTGCAATCTAGCCGCAGTCACTGCGTTGCTTCGGTGCCCTTCTTTGAGAGCGACAGTCGAGCTGTCGTGTTTGTGTCTGTATGTGTGCTGATCCCTATCTGACATGAGGCGAGTTCAAAGACGGACTAAGGTGCTCCCTCCTCGATCGCAGAGCTTGTGTCCCAGAGCGCCCGCGAAAGATGAAAATCCGCAGGATAAACCCGTATATATAGTTCGGTTTATTTTCATTAAGGGAGTGACAGAGTGGCTGTGGAATGCATCAATACAGTAGAAAATTAAAAACAGAGGTTGGCAACGCAATTGTGGTCGAAGAGCGAGTAGCCGCCGGTTATTCGAACATACACTACTATTCACTTATTACGAGTAGTATAACTACACTTTTAATTATTATTTCAGGAATAGTACTTCAGCTTAATGGATGTGCAAAATTACACGAGCTAGAACGTGGAACAAAAGCGGATAGAACAAAGGGCAAAAAACACTCCTTGGAATTTTTCGTAAACTACAGAATTTTGAATGCGATTTGAGGGCTTTTAAAGAGAAAAAACTGTCGTTAATGGGAGGAAAATATACGCGAGATAGGACCGTCCTGCTGATAGGAATGTGTGAGGTAAGGTTGGGAGCCCTCCCATATTAATTTTTATTTTTCACACAGATAAACAGCATAAGCTCGTTATATTCTCTTAGATTTTAGGTAATATTCGTTAAATGTGTATGTGCTAATAAAATGGGTATATATAATGCCCAAATACAAGTGTAATATATCACTGAGTTTTATTTATGGCGTAATTTATTCGTAGACACTTTGTTATTAGACATATGTTGACAAAATTATATTTCACTGCAATATATCTATTAATGCACCCGTTTTACTGACTCAGTTATAGGAGGTATACTATGATTATCCCTTTACTACCTGTATCATATTTCTAAAGTAGGATAACTCCGGCCACGCGCCATTTGCGTTCTAGTAATGCTTACATTATCAGCTACTTTTGACTGGTGACACCCCAATCTTTAACAGTTGTAAGGTGATGCACTTTCTTCGGAATCTAATGCTGCTTTCCTTCACTGTATCAGTCAGTCAGCGCCCGGGATATTTAATCGCGTGCTCTGATCGGGTGGCTTCACAGCGTCTCGTGTATGAAATCAACCAGGCAAACCTACTGAGGAAGCATATATCAATTATCCGCAGAAATCCACAAACCAGCGAATATGCCCACTGAATATTTAAATAGGTTTGTATAAAAATCCCCCAGAGGGAGTGAAATCCCGAAATTCGAAGCGCGATATAGCGGAAGGTTACTGTTTCTCGAGTCGTGCACTCCCAGCATGGCCATAATCCGAAAATTTGCAAGTGAATCGAATATGGCAGTAGGTTACAAGCTAGTGGTGGTTTAGTTGGACGTTCACCTGACAAAGACGCGATTACAGTTGAATTCTTTTAGATTTAGGTTTTATTGGACTTTCGCATAATACTGAGAGTGAATAATCTCGGTGGATCGACGCCCACCGATCGGTTATGGGAAGTCCTCGTCTCTCAACTGCCGCCAGCAGTCGCGCAGTGACTAGTGCTATAGGCAGAAAAATATTATTGACAAAGGTAAGGAGGCCGGAATGGCTATTTCTGGCTTTTATTAGCCTCATTGGCTAGCCATATCCAACCCCAACTGGTTGACCACCTGAGGCTCGAACTCACGACCTGTTGACTAGAAGCCCAAAGCTTGTCGGTTTCCATCGTGAGTATTATCTGTAAAACTCGTTTAATGTTCTTCCTGGCATTACCGGTTTTAACGCCAGGAAGTCGGAACATAGGATTGGTGAATTTCCGCAGATTAACGATGCACGTGAAATTAATTTTGGTTTAACATTTTGATTCTCAAGAAACGCACAACTATGTGCAATTAGCATGACTTAGATGTACATTGAAATGTCCCTATGTGTTAATTTTTAGAACGCTGTTGCTTCTACAGGTAATCCGATTCGACTATTTTGACAGAATGTTTTACAAGCATAAATCTCCAAGTTCGCTCCAAATGGTTTCACATAATGTCCAGGAAGGTAAAAATCACTGCAGCATTTCGTACCGTAAATATACTTGAACGCTGTTACGTTTGAAAGGGTGCAAAACTTATATAATACTTTATACGTAACTGTTAGAAAAAAATTAAACTATCAACAGGCAACCGAGTTCGTGTCATCAGCGGGGAATGCAGCTTCATTAGCCCTCTTCGTCCTCTTCACGCACAAATGGAATGCCTAAAAGACAAAAATTCCATATTATAACAACTGCTCCAATAACGCTGTCTCTTCAAACAGTTCTTCAGCACCTACAGTACTGAATTGAAGAAATTACCATAAGTGGCAGATTAGTGCTATTAAACTCTCAGTGCTATCCCCCGACTTTCGAGTCCCTCATTCCAGTGGTATTGAAACAGATAATTTTCCGGCAGGAGAACACATTTGGATAAACTTGACCACTGCTATCTGAATACGTACGAATATCTCCTAGATCTATCGGCATTATTTTTCACTCACTAATGAATGTGATATAAAACGAGCAGTAACCTCTACTGATAGTTAGTCCACTTCAACCACTGCGAATCAAGCAGCCTCTGGCCAATACTGAAACTGGGATGGCAAGATAGAGCCCCAGAAATGGAAGTCCTGGAACGAACTAGACTCCTCCTAATCAATGCTATGTTGCAAAATCTCTAAATACAGTGAGCTGGCTACCTCATGAAGATGAATTATTAGCACCAACCCAAGCGGCTTATCTACAGCGGCGTTGTAGAGACTGCTCATCGACAGGGTGGACAGCTCCGACATTATAGGACACTGAAACTTTCCTCCGGGGACCTATAAATCAACTCGGAGACTAAGGATGACCTTGCTCAGGATCAATCAGCTTGGAGAAGACTGTTGTAGGCTGGGCCAGCAAGTCAGTCGGATCGCCGCTATAGAAACCAAAAGGGAGAATTGCAGGCATGTCTCAGAGTCCGCGGACCATCAATACATTGCCAATAATTTCCATCGTGTCCAGGATGCAAATAGGCCTACCGCGTACAGATCGGTCTCGTCGAATATCTTCGGGCTTAATGCACTACAAACGCGTTACAATCGCCTCCTGTCTCCTAAACCGCCTACACCTTCTCCATCACTAATGCAAACCTCCGACATCTGTGACCACCATCGCCAATAGCGAGCAAGATCCATATGCTCCGTCACCCTCCACCAGCCCTGGTACCGGCCAAACAGGTTTATTCGGCCAGATACACCTCCAATAAATTCGCGATAAGACACCGGAGGCCACACTACACCCCCACATCGCGCTACACCAGTAGATACACCCCACCTTTTTTACCGCAGGCGCAGAATATATACCTCTCACAAAGGTACGAAGAAATTTCCTGGTGTCTGACTACGTCTTCTTTAGCACACGTAGATGAACTGTCGTAGTTCTATCAGTCATAGTGCTCAATAGCTTCATCAGCTCGTTGACAGACTCTTAAAGTCAAGTGGTTCAAGGAAAGCTTAAAGAGAATAAGGCCTGTTCTGATGACTCCTTCTCACGGCAATTCAACACTGCGGATACTGCAAGCGAACATGTGATCTCCTGGAAGTAAGCCATACATGATTGCTGTAAGGAAAATTTTATTCGCCTGATGTTTCGGATTCGCTCTCGAACCCATGTCAAGAGACGCCATCAGACACGGGTAACTCGTATACAGGGAGCTGCAGTTTTTACAGGAAACAGTTACTATGCTGCTGCATACCTATGATGCGTAACTGCTCCTTTTTCATTGCGGATAATTACTCCTTGGTGCGCTACTTGCTTAATGGTCATCATGCGAGTCGTGATCTGCTGAAATTTCGTCACGCGTGTTGAACGTTGGCCAACTGGCTCAACGGTATTGACGTTGTAAACTGTGTTTACCTGGGCGCTCCCCGAGTGGCTGACTGCTTTGACTAAACTATGCCACTGCGCCGCATATGGATTGGGCAGGCCATTGCACTTGTTTATATACTGGTGGCCCGTAAACCATGACCCAAGCAACTTGTGGCTCATGCGGTTGTCACCTCTGGAGATAATTTCGACTTCGCTGAACTTGAATGTGTGTTTAGTTTTTTTTGGATGAGCCATGACTTGAAAATTGGTGTTCTTTCTCCGCACTGCTGCCGCGTGTTCAAAAGTCGCCTTCAGAGAAGTCTTCCAGATTCTCTGACGTAACTGCTTGGCCTGCAGCTGCGCCAGCTCTGATAAACTACTTCCAAGGTTTCTTGCAACGACAGTGAAGGTTAGTTTTTTCCTTATTCAATTTCTAATGGTTGCTTCCGGTCTGAGTGCGACTCCAACTCCTAATGGTGCAAAAAGGCCGCCGACGGCCTCCAAGACGGTTTTGACATATAGAATTGTTCGCCAAAATTTTGTCGTCCATGTCCTTCGCCCATGCACTGCTTGACGTAGGTAAGTGCGTGGCAGTTTTGTCTGAACACCCGTCGAGGATATTGCACTTCGATAACTTTGTCTTTCGGTTCACTTTAATGAGTTCCTACTTAGCGATACGGCGCCCTTACGCAACTGCATTCGTGGCGGATTTGGTGGTTGCTATTGAGGTTCAGTGCTTGCATCGTATTCGTTGCTTTCCTTAATATGCTGATCTTTAGGACGACACAATCTTTGCAACAGACAGACACATCAAGAAGGGTCAGCTGGCTCTTTTCGCTCTTCCGTTGTAATTTGTATGTCCGGAAAGACGCTCTTCAGACGTCCTCTGAAAGTGAGCAACTGTGGCCAGTTCTGTGGACACCTTCTCGATGCATGAAAGCCATGACTTGGCTGGCTGTTAACTGGCAGCATGACGCGAGCATCTCAGGAAGAAGAGTCAGGCAAGATTGCAACGGCTCCTGTTTACAATGGCCACTATAAACCGATGGAACCCGAGCTGATAAATTTTTGTTTTCGGGAAAACCCGATCAATCGTGCGCGGACTAGGCGTGGGCAGCATGGATAGACGGGCCGTGTAGTCTTTTCAGTCCCTGCAACCGAGTTCGTTTCCGGGCGTTCTGACTCTGTCTTGTCATTAGAGTGGAGCAGATGCCGCAAAGACTGGTATCACTATTTCATGCGAATTGCCATCCTTTCATCCATTAAGCTGTTGGGGGGGACGGTGGAAATCGTCGTAGGAGGCGACCAAAATGTCAAGTTGAGGGCCAAATTTAAAAAAACCACCTGTTTATTGTAGTTGCTATGCATATAACCCTCAACACTGACGTCTCTTTGCCTCATGTGCAAAACCGCAAGTCTCGCAAATTCTAAATCGAGCACTTTCGGAAGAGTTTGAAGTCATAAGAAATTATTGCCCCGACAAATAAGGCGAGAACGAATTCTAATCATATGCTTGTAGACCTGATTAGTGTGAAAAGTGCATTGTGCCTTTAAACTACGTGCAGATGTTTTTCTTTCGGTGAAATTAGCATTAAAACATGCCAAAGTTACTCCAAGTAAAAGACCTCCAAAATTATATTGCACTATTCAAATCATGACTCGCGACTATGCTAAAGAAAATCGCAAAATTTATTCAGACACTTTATTGCAAGAGAAAATAAAATTTCCGATATAGATTTCCGTGGTATTAACTACCGCAATCGCCCGTCATATAGAACGGTAGCAGACAAGAAAATATGAATGCACACTAGATGTTCAAGAGTATTGTTTGACCTTGCGTGGTACATTAGTACAAATTTCATTATACTAGACCCAACTGGGCTCAGTCGATCTGACCTGAAAGCAATTATCTTGCAATAAACTTTATCGACCACAGAAAGTGTTCTGCGCCATAACAACGATGGTTTACGACCAATGGGATGCGATACACTTCGTGATAAGCGCAATCCCATAGAACTAGTAAAATATCTGACTTTGAGAGAGAATTCATCGTCAGCGGCTGCGTATGCATTATGTCCGATGCCTTTCACAACTGGCATAATTAGACAAGTTATAAACTAAAGGATTCGAATAAAGGAGCACTAATCCAACTGTGAAAACTTGGATGACAAATACCAAATAACACCACGAGTCTTCATAATTGCATATTAAAGAGCAACAGCACATATGTGACATGTCTTGCAAAAACTGGGTGCGCGGTCGGACCGCTTGAGAGCATATCGTCCAAAGATTTGAAAATTTAACCTAAGACAGCGAAGAATATTCGTATTTATTCGTAGTTTCTGAAATCGTCATATGATGACGAAACTACTAACCCGGTGCATTAAATTTCTCAAAGAAATGGTCATGCCACAGTTGTTAACTTGTTTACATCCTAAATAGACCTGCGAATTGGGATTAACATGACAGCAGTTTTATATGTAAAGAAAATACTTAGGGATGGAGATGCCGATAAGGATTCAGGCATTTTCTGGTTCACACACATGGTTATCTTTTTTGAATCCCATTTTTATATATTTTATTGAGCCTTCCTCTTATTTCATTGTTTGCGTTTCATCTAAATTCAAAGCTTTGACCGAATAAGAGCATTTTCTAAGTGCGTAGTTGACTTACGTCGAACACTTGAGCCCGTTTCTATTTTCATCTAATTCTTAGCTTCTTTGTGATAGATACTTGATACTTGTATCACATTATCTCACTGATAAATGCAGACTAAATCAGTATTTAACTTGATTAACATACTGATCTTTTAGCCGAAAATGAAAGCAAGACCCAATTAGTTGTGGTTCGCAACCTTTCACTATTAAACAGATTGACCAGATATTATTGAAAATTTTAAGCAGACCGCCATTGCTCAGTGTGCCAAGGCGGCTTTCGGATTAACACGGATTCAAACATATGTGTAACATGACGTCTAAGGAGAAAAGCCACCATAAAAATCCCTAACATTCAACCTAAATGGACGATAAATTATGACTGAATAGAATCAATATGTTCATCTTAATTTAAATGCACACTATCACATCATCATATAATACCTAAGATTTCTTGAACGAGGAATAGATCAATAAAGGCAATACAGTTAGACATTCAAAACCAAAACTCTGAAACCCTATTATGCCGGTTGGTCATTTTCGAGTTGTATGGAATTTTATACATAAACCTACACAACATCTAAAAACCTTGTTTGAATTCATGCCTGACACTGAAAATTATATCTAAAATTCTTCGATTTTATAATTTAAAAAGAGGTATCTCCTTCAAGTACTAAAAAGATAAGTCGATGGATTCCAGGTGTAACACAGACTTTGAGGTGCTCCCTAGTCTGAGATATTTACAGAGAGGACGTTCATTTATTAAAATCTGAAATATTGTGTGTAATAAAGCAGTAAATCTCAGACTATCATAGGTTGACGGACGTCACAATTAATGCATTTTAATTCTTACCATCGAGTTTTTTGACTTTTGGTAGCTTCCTGCATGCTTCGTCACGAAATGTTTCGGCATTGTGTTCCGACAGTGGATTACCTAAACTTGGAATTAAGGTCTTAATGTATACTTACCAGTAAACACTAGGTCTGCAAGCACAGGAAGCTCGTTTAGTTTTAAAAACTCGCCCCAATCTTTGACTTTGTTGTTTGCCATATACAAAACCGTCAGTTTCTTCAACGCATTTATGCCCTTTAATTTTTCGATATTGTTATAGGATATCCAAAGTTCTTCCAAAGTTTCTCCCAGAACTTCAATTCCAGATAACTGCTTTATATTATTTCTTGCCAAAGACAGAATTCTCAATTTTTCTAAATGAGCGTTGAAATTAAAAGTCCCATTTACTTAGGGCATTTAGATTTGATATCTTTTCAATGCAGTTAGTTGAAAGCGAAAGCTTTCTTAAAAATTAAGGGACTCTAAACTTACTCGCAATTTGATAGAGCAGAAAGTCCTGCATCCATTTTCTCAATGGGGGGATATTGTGCGTACAGTTTCACTTCAGTTGCCTCTGACGCCTTTTGTCCATGTTTTTCCTCCTATTGAATAAAATTAGAATAAACGCAACATACCCATTTTGCAATTGCCTCCTTTATTGTTGTCGCTTTAGCCTTCAAGCATTTCGAGTCACAAAATAATGATATTTACCATTTTGTTCGCACGCTAGTATCTAGGCAACGGAAAACTGCAAGCAAGTAAGTTAAACACCTGTGCGGGATTATTGACCAAATGATATTTTTAAACTTAACCGAAGGTGCCACTTCTTCGTTAGCTGAACTGTAAATTCTTCTTTTAAACTTTCCGCTGCATGCATTTCTGTTTTCGAACAAAATTAACATAAAAATAACACGTCATTGTTGAAGGATTTCGCTAGAACTGAATCGGCGCTTTTGTCTAGCGAAGCTAACAAAGAGACTAGTCGTTTTACCTACTTTAAAATATAATTTCAAAGGTACGTAGAGAATTAAAATGTGTAAATTGTAAGCTATTCCGCAATATTATGCCACCAGCTTACCTCGAGGAATATCATCTCCCACGAAATGCGGTCAAGAAATGGATCTGTCATGCAGGGAAAAAACTGTGAACCCAGCATTATTCTGGAAGCTAAAACACAACCCCATTAATCAAAAGTCGACTAAAAAACAGGGGTTCTCTCACATTAACTAAGGATGATAATGGTATATAAGATCTCTGCCAGCACAGGCGATGGGGGGAAATGGAGGTAAACGGGGATATGTGGGGGTAAACGGGGATGAAAATTTTTGATTAAATGAATATACTGAGAGAACGCATTTTTAGAAATCTACTTTTTTATCAATAGAATATGAATAACTTTATTTTTTAACATACTTATCAATTTGGAGGCTTAAGAATGAGAAAAAGGTGGCGCCTCGCTGCGCAAACGCTTTTCTGGCCGGCGGGGGACGGGTTGAAATCCCCATCGATTAGCTAATGACGGGATTTCAACCCGTCCTTCGCCGGCCGGAAAAGTGTTTGCGCAGCGAGATGCCACCTTTTTCTCATTCTTAAGCCTCCATATTTATAAGTGTGTTAAAGAATAAAGCTATTAATAATTAATTGATAAAAAATTAGATTTCTAAAGATGCGTTCTCTCAAAATATTCATTTAATAAAAAATTGCATTCCTGTTTACCCCCGTTTTCCCCCATCGCCTGTACTGGCAGGGATGTTGAAATTTCTCAAAAATTAAAAAAATTGGACTACGCGATATTCAAGTGTAAGGTTCAAATTGATGTAAACAGTTATCGTCTCGTCAGCCTAACCTACGTTTGTTAATGGAAACTCTATTTAAGATAGCGACATTTGTATTATGTACTATTGTTACGGTGGATCTATTTTGCGATTTTTGGTTATGAATAGGGAGCTCAAGGTCGACAAACCTTCTTCCCTCTCTTGTTATTTCAGGGTACTACTCTCCACTCAGCAGCGCACTCACGCGCTTAACAATGAATGCAGGCTTAACATCATCTAAACTGACTTTAATAAGATATTCATCAACTTCCCACTTTCACATCTAATCAACGAACCACCTTAATTGGAATCAGCGAAAGCTGCAGATATGTATTGCATATTGACTTACAGGGGAGAGTCAACCATTTGAATCGTTGTTCTTTTCTCTCTCGCCCTACCCCACCCCCTCCAAAGGCCAGATCAAGTGCCGTTTATCCTTCTCGTCAATATTACTAATTGTCTCGATAGCCTGAGTTGCAGCTCTATCGTGTTTGTGGACGATGCTCAACTCTGGAGAACTAGCAGATCAGACGCTGACAGACATAAATTTTAAGAGCCTTTCGTCTGACTTAGCAGATGGTATGTATGCGTATTGTCTTAAGTTTCCATTTCAAAGAAAATCGATTAAGAGGATAATTTGTTCCGATACCTCCTCAACTTGCATCTCCGTTCAAGGGCTGAGGCAAAAAGGACCACTATATTTCAATAACCCCATTCCTTTAAACCTCTTTCCAGTGTCTACAGACAGCTGAACACGCAAGACAGATGTTATTCGTACAGATTGATGAGGAAATATTCAGCAAGTTTCTGTTGAATTATGCCAAAGCAGTCTAGTTTAACACTTGTCGACCTTCACAAATAATAGGCATCAGATAATATCATGCATGCTTGCTCTAATTCTTAGTACGTATGTTATGCTGTTAGTGCACTGTGAATATACGAAATTTTTGACTCTGCTCAGCCCGTCCTGGTCAGTGGAATCCCGTATGCATAGAATTTTTGTCGGTAGCCTTTTTTGACCATATACTACGAGTCACTGAGTGGCTGCCTATAGTGCTCTAGATTGGGTCATTAAGCACTTCAGGGAGAGTTAATCCCGTAACCTGATTGGTGAGACCGTCCGTTATCAGTACATATAATTACATACGAGCATCACGTCATGTTGCTTGCCGTTCCAAGATCCATTAGTCAAACAGATACATATCTTCACCTTTGAACAGACTCGATTGCTGATTATATACGACCTACGTGATACCATGTCCGCTCGACCTTTGTGAAGGAACTTGAAATATCTTTGGAAGTTTTACTGTGGTTGGGTTGAGAATAGAAAGTACGTCAGTATTATGTTTCCCGAAATCGACTTCTATACCTCTAGGAGATCAATGCCATGACCAACCAAGGCATAGACCTCTTTGTGTTTTCTGCACCATACGCTGGGTTGATATCTAGTATATGTATAGTTGAAGGGTTACAGGCAAGAAATGCCCTTGTTGACCCCAGTAATTTAAAGTAACCATTGTATTTTTACGGTCACCATAAAGTTGTAGACTAAGAATTCATTTTCTGCTCACCTGAATAAATTAGTGGATTTTCTGACGTTCCGGACAGCTGGGGATGCAGCCATTTTTCAAAGGGAATACTAAATTTATCGATCATCAAGTTTAAAGCTGTGGCTGTGTGCGTTGGCCTTGGGCTGATCGATTTATCTCCGGTCGCTGTTTGGCCGTGCGTGTGAATTAAGGCTTGGCATGACTGCAGAAGCGGAAAGAAATAACCAACTACCCTTCGTCGATGTCCTGGTGTGACGTTGTTCAACTGGACTACTGCAATCTACAGTATTTCGAAAAGCCACCAGTAAGAAACAAATATTCCACTTCACCAGCAATCACCCTCTGTCTCACGAATGTAGCTGCGTTTATACTCTTTTCCAAAGAGTTAAAACACATTGCTGGACACAAGCTGATAAAAGAGTGGAACAACAATACTTATATGAACTCTTTCGAGCTAATGGATACCCGACATCATTTATCAACATATGACGGGCAGCAAAACAGAAACCCGAAGTCTGAAGGGTCATTTCCTATATAAAAAGTAGTTTCCGAAGCCGTATCTCGACTTTTACAACCCGTTAGAGTAGGCAAAGCCCATTGACCTCAGAGGATAAAACGCCAAGGAGTGATGCAAACTAAAGACAGACTGCCCCCCTGCTGAAACCTCCGCAATTGTCTACAAAATACGTTCCAACGATAGAGACTATAATTACGTTGGAGAAACAGGGCACAAAATGCAGACCCGCCTACAGGAGCAGAAAGCGGCGGCCCTGAGTAGAGCTTGTAACATATATCGGAGAGACTGGTCACGACTTCTATATTCAGGGAACGAACATCTTAGGCCGAGGAACCTCACAAGTGGGAAATCTGACGCTTAAGGCATGGTAGTCAGACGCTTACTCTGTCAACAGGCATCTGGACATCACTGCGGCCTACAAAGTCCTACGCCATTACGAAAGTAAAGGACAGGATACGGTCAAACCGAAGTTAGGACTTGCAGACGAAGACGGCACCGTGATGAAATCACAGATTATCAGCATCCTCTACCGTGGGGACGAAGCAGAAAACCGACTGCCCTCACGCCAAGCCAAGATCCACACGCACGGCAAAACAGCGACCGGAGAAAAATATATCAGCCCAAGGCCAACACGCATTTCCGCAACTTTAAACTTGCTAATAGATATAGTCAGTATTCGCTTGGACAAAGGACAGCAGGCCCAGTTTTCCGAAACGTCAGCAAATCCACAAATTTATTCCGGTTAGTAGAAAATGAATTCTTCTTCTTATCCCGGAATTCTGACTTTTTTTAATTAAAGTCGTAGACATTAAGAATTATTTTGTATTCAAAGTATAACACAATTGCAAGCGAATTTTCATGATATAATCCAGCCAGCACAAATGCCTGATAGGGCGGGTATGGCGAGGAGGAAAATTGTGATAATGTTTTAGGTGTATGTAGTACTCAATAAACCTAAATTTTGCACGTAAATATGTTATTTTAATTAACTGTTTTATTAATTTCACGTATATTTCTATATAATGCATAGATTCAATGGACATTTACATAAAGGTGGTTTTGTTTAAGTTTGCCAAGCACACGGTCTATTTTTGCCTTGACCTGTAGTGTCGTGACCGAGATGCCCTAATCGTACAACTATAGCGACCCTAACTGAGCCATATGTGTTTTATTGGGCTAACTCCCGCTCAATTTGATTTTTCAGAGCTCAGCGTGAGGTCGCTGCGCTGCTTGGGACCCGATAAGTCAACTCGCTTCTTTTCCTGATCTATCTGTTTTGGTGTTACAATCCACCATATTTTTCTATCCTACGTTTATACGTTTTTCTATATTGTACCTTTTTCGCGTTACTACCATACCCTGTCAGAACATTTACGTTACATGTTACCTTTAGATTGCCTACTTTCGTTTTCCGTAACGTATCCATTTTCAATACTATTGCCGTTCTTATAATAAACCAGATTTTCCTGTTCCACTAAACTTTACTATCATGAATCATAACGAATTGTCTGATGGATTCGATGGACAGAGATATGCCCGTTTGCTTGACGAAGCTTGGGAATCTACCCCTCTGTTTCAGAATACCCCGCCTTCAGACAGTTCACGATCAGAGGCCTCTACGTCAGACCCTTCCTCCTCAATAGGATCTATTCAAACATATCCGTTCTTAGATTCGTCTCGCCCTGTAGCGACACAATCAACTCCAGCAGTCAATCTACCTGAGGAATATACTTTCAATCTCCCGCCTCCAGCCGACTCGGACGCTACGCAACACAGTGTAGTGGGCCAAGGATGTCGAGGTTGGCACACACCTAAAGGAGTAATTCACACATATGATTCTCCGGAAGTAACGCCGAACGGGGCTGTCAATCACCACAACGCACAATCAGAGAATAAAGAGATAGAAGGATAACGCGAAAGTAAGAAACAAGGTCTGTTGGTATAAAAGGAATGGTTAACAATAAAGAACGGGAAAGATACGATACGGGGGATTACCAAGGGTCTGTAAAAATGATCCATTTGTAGTGAGGGGTGATCACAGAATATTAGTTAGATACCGGTGGGAGTGCAGCGCTGTGGGCAACTGCGGGTGAGGGCCATGGTGGTGCTGACGGCAGGCAGAGTGTGTAACGGCGACACGGGGCTGCGGGAAAATAGTCAGCGGAGGGGGAGAAACGGAAGACCAGTATATTCACCAACAGACGTTCACACCATCCTCATCCGGATCCGCGCCAAAAGTGACCTTGGTTAGTTCAAACACCCATGGTTCGGGTTGGCTCGTTACAACACGACTTTTTTTTGAAGTTTGCATTTTATGTGCAACCAAAAGAACCAAAACGTAGACAAGAAAGAACGCAGTAAAACAAATATATGTGAAAATAAGGGAATTTAAATAGAAGCAAATTTTAAAAGAAGAATTAGTAAAAAGTAATTTATAATTTTTACCGAACAGTCGTTAGGGGTTGTTTGTGTATGAATGGTCGTGTTGGGCATCCTGTAGGCAGGATGAAAATCTTGCGACGACTGCCTAGAGCGTTCGGTATAAAAGCGTTAATAACGAACGCATCTATCCGTGATTTAATGCAAATGATGAAATTTGTGGAAGGTTGTGATTAGCAGGAAGTCTCTAGGTTCATATGGCGGTGACCGAACCCTTTAGATAGCCAGTGCCCTGTAGAAATCGTCATCTAAACGGTCATCCAAGTTAATGCTCTGTTTGTCACAAATAGCTGTTATGAGATTTGCCTGCGTGTATATATATATTGAAGGCAACACGGCAGTGGTCACTGACGGTATTGAGTGTACTAAGCAAAATATGGTGTTAGTGACGTCCGACAATGAGTAGACTTGGTGAAGTCAGGTCCGCAGTACGAACTGGTGGTGTCAATGGTGCCGACGTACCTATGGCAAGAACAAATGTGACGTTGAGTAGACATGGTGAAGTGGGCACGGCAGTGGTCACTGACGGTATTGAGTGTACTTAGCAAAATGTGGTGTTAGTGACGTCTGCCACTGATTAGACATGGTGAAATCATCGCGGCAGTGCTCACTGAAGCTATGGATAATGCAAAGGGAGATGTGGCAGTAAGGACATGTGTTGTTGTATGTCGATGGTGCAGACTGACCTATGACAGTAACGACCTATGTCGTTGAGTAGTCATGTTGGAATTTGTCCGGCAGGGTAACCTGACGGCATGAATGGTGCAAACGGACA